CCAGAACTGACCACAGAAATAGCTGAGAAGATCACAAGTGTCCCAGTGAATGTACCAGAATTGACCACAGAAATCCCTGAGAGGATCACAAGTGTACCAATTAGTAGACTAGAACTGACCACAGAAATCCCTGAGAAGACCACAAGTAACCCAGTGAATGTTCCAGAATTGAGCACAGAAATCCCTGGGAGGATAACAAGTGTCCCAGTGAATGTACCAGAATTGACCACAGAAATCATTGAGAGGCTCACAAGTGTCCCAGTTAGTGGACCAGAACTGACCACCGAAATCCCTGAAAAGACCACAAGTGTCTCAGTGAATGTTCCAGAATTGACCACAGAAATCCCTAAGAAGATCACAAGTGTCCCAGTGAACGTTCCAGAATTGACCACAGAAATCCGTGAGAGGATCACAAGTGTACCAGTTAGTAGACTAGAACTGACCACAGAAATCCCTGAGAAGACCACAAGTAACCCAGTGAATGTTCCAGAATTGAGCACAGAAATCCCTGAGAGGATCACAAGTGTACCAGTTAGTGGACCAGAACTGACCACCGAAATCTCTGAAAAGACCTTAAGTGTCCCAGTGAATGTTCCAAAATTGACCACAGAAATGCCTGAGAGGATCACAAGTGTCCCAGTGAATGTACCAGAATTGACTACAGAAAACCCCAAGACAATCACAAGTGTTCTAGTTAGTGGACCAAAATTGACCACAGAAACCTCCAAGAGAATCACAAGTGTCCCAGTGAATGTTCCAGAATTGACCAAAGTCCCTGAGATCAAGAGTGTCCCAGTGAGGAGCACAGATGTGCCAGAATCAACTACAGAAGTCATTAAGAAGATCACAAGTGCTCCAGTGAGGACCATACATGTGCCAGATTTGACCAAAGAAGTAATTGAGAAGATCACAAGTGTCCCAGTGAGGATCACACATATGCCAGAATTGACCACAGAAATCCCTAAGGAGATTACCAGTGTCCCAGTGAATGTTCCAGAATTGGCCACAGAAATCCCTGAGAAGACCACACATCCATATCAGAATAAAGATGGCTCAAAGGAAGGTCTCCATGCTGGAGTGATGGGAGAAAATGACTCTTTTCCGGCTTGGGCCATAGTCATCGTGGTCCTGGTAGCTGTGATTCTCCTCCTGGTGTTCCTTGGCTTGATCTTCTTGGTAAGGAACAGCGATGCATCAGACAGAAAACTGAAGATACATTGTAGGGCAAAACTAGAATGAAAAACACATTTCAGAAAAGTGTCATGATAAAGGTTGTGGTTGTTGTTGTTAGGTCCTATCAAGTTGGTTTTAGCCCATATTAACCCACACACTACTATGAAAGCTTGCCTGGTCGCTACTGTTTTCATTAGGTACTGTCAAATCAAGTATGACACATAGTGACCCTATGAATAACAGATCTGAACCCTGTCCTATTCTGTGCCATCCTCATAATTTCTGACACATTTGAGTCCATTGCTGCAATTACTGTGTTGATCTACCTGGTTGAAGGTCTTCTTCTCTTCTTACATTGACCCTCCACCCTTCCAAGCATGATGTTCCTCCATCTCCAAGGAATAGTCTCTCTTGGCAACATGTTCAAAGTGTGTGACATGAAGCTTTGTATTCTTTGTCTCTAAGGAGGCTGTACTTCCTACTGCTAGTTGGGGATACTACTTAGTATAACTTAGTAGTGTTACTATTGTTGTTGTTAAGTACTGTTGAGTTGGAACTTATCCATAGCTGACCCTCTGCTTATCTTTCTCTTGTGAAATAGCTGGTGGATTGGAACTGCGTAACTTTGTGCTGGCAGTGCAATTCCTTACCAATAAGCTACCAAAGTTCCTAGTGGGAGTCAAGTGTTAATTGCTATGAGGTCAATTCTAACTCATGGAGACTTAGGTATAATAGGACACAATGGTGCCAGGTCCTGTCATTCTCATGATCACTGGCATGTTTGAGTCCATTGTTGCAGCAACTGTGTTGTGCCTTGAACCCAATGGGCATGTCTGCCAGCACAGTATCAATCTATTATGATCCAGAAAAATCTCATTGAGTAATTTTTCTCTCTTTTCTATTATGACTAGAGTTAAAGTTGACAAAGCTGATTACGTTTTCATTGAGTCATTCACACACTTTTTAAAAACCACAACAACATTAAGTACAAGACTTATAATGTAATTGCACTTTCCCTACTTCCTTACTGTGATTTCCATTTTTATCAATCCTTCTATGTTTTTGGTATCTCCCATTTCCTTAGTGATAATGGGCTGATCATCCCTTTATATCTGGATAAATTTTGGGAGTGTATCACCACAGGTCTTTCTTCTTTCTCTGCCTTAGTCCGGAATTTCTACTGGAACCAGCAGAGATGACCCCTGTCAGATTTGAAATACCAGTGATATAATTTCCAGCATTATAACAACCATGCAAACTATTATAGCATGAGGAACTGATGAATGGTAGAATTGCTGTTAGAAGTGGTGAAAATGATGGGGAAAGACAATGGTTGCTGTTGTGTGTCATTGAGTGAGTATGACTTACACAACCTTGCCCAGTCTTGTACTCAGCCTCCCTCAAACTCAAGCCCATTGGTATAGTCACTGTGTCAATGAATCTTTTTGAGGGTCTTCTGCTCTTTCTTGTCACACCATATCCCTTTTCTCAAGGACTAACACCTTCTCACACGATGGCCCAAATATATGAGATGACGTTTCACCATCTGACTTCTAAGCAGCACCCTAGTTGCTCTTCCTTCAAGACAGATTTGTTCTTTTGAGAGTCTGTGGGATATTCAAGGTTTTCACTCACACCACAATTCAAAGGCATCTATTTTTCTCTGATCTTTTTTCATTCTACTACTTTCAGATACATATGAAGCAATTGAAAGTACCATGACTTGGATCAGACGCATCTTCATTTTTAAACTCATATCCTCATTCTTCAGTGCTTTAGAGAGGTTTTTGGAAGCCAACTTCCCAAATGCAACATGTCTTTTGAACTCTTGACTGCTGCTCCCATGGGTACTGATTGTGAATCCAAGTAAAATGAAGTCATTGACAACTTCAATCTTTTCTCCACCTGTATGATGTTGCTAATGGATCTAGTGGAGAGGAATATTGTTTTCTTGATGTTGAGATGTAATCCATAGTCTTGGACCTTCTTCAGCAAGTGTTTCAAGTCTTCCCTTCCTTAAGTCTTCCTCACTAAAGGTCTTGGCAAAAAAAAAAAAAGACCCCAGTAATTAATGGAATATCAATAGAAGTGTTTTAGTAAAAAGATACTACCCTGGACATGCTTACCAATATATGCCAAGGAATATAGAAGAATATAGAAGCTACCTGGCCAATTGACTGGCTAAGCTCCATGTTTATTACCATTAAAAAAAGATGATTCAGGAGTATAAAAATTAATAATATCATTAATATAACATGTAAATAAAATCTTGCTGAAGATTATAAAATAATTACTGGAACAGTAACTCTACAGGGAACTTCCAGAAATTCAAGGTGGATTCAGAAGAGACCATGATAGAAGGGATATCACGGCTGATGTCAGATAGATCTTAACTGAAAACAGAGGATATCATAAAAATGTGTACTTGTGTTTTATTGACTATGCAAAGACATTTGACTAGGTAGATCATAACAGTTATTACTAACATTGAGAAGAACAGGAATTCCAAAACAGTTAATTGTTCTCATTTGAAACTTATATACAGGACCAAGAAATAGTTGTCCAAATAGAATATTGTGTGGTTTAAAATCAAGAAAAGTGTGTGTTAGGGTTGTATATTTTCTCTATGCCTCTGTATGCTGAAAAAATAATTAGGGAATCTGGACTATATGATAAAGAATGTGGCATCAAGATTGGAGGAAGATTCATCAACAACTTGCATTATGCAGGTGATACAATCTTGCTGACATGAAGTGAAGAAGACTTGAAGCACTTACTGCAGAAGATCAAAGACTACCTACAGACTTCAATCAGGATTATATAGACACATAGGATGTAAATAAACAAAAATAGGGAAAAGGTTATGATTGAGAAAAAAACAGGAGTGGAGGAGAAAAATTGGCAAAGTTGGTATATGAAAGGAGATGTACAGATAAAGAGAATAAGATAGAGAATTGTGCTAGATCTGAGACTGAAGTGAGGATCAAGGTAGGGATGGAATCTTTGGAAAATTGGGAGACACAGGCCAAAGAAATGAGAATTGAAGGGCCTGGGATATAGGTGTGGAAGAAAGCAAATGGCACAGCAGATAATAATCCTTTCTCCCTCCTCTTCCATCACAGATCTCCTATCTGACTGGAAAACGTCGTCCACTGACCCAGAACACTGATGACAAGGATCTGGAAGATGAAGGTGGCCCTAATTCCTACCCAGTATACCTGATGGAACAGCAGACTCTGGGTACGGGGCAGATCCCTTCCTCAAGATGATCACTTGGAAGTTACCCACCTGCAGCTCTTCCATGTCCTGCCTCTTTCTCAGATGAGGAATTGGACATTTGATTCCTATTTCTTGGACTTCACAAAGGGTTACAAGTACTGAGAGTTAACAGCATCAGCACTCCATGTGCTATATTCTTACTGATACCAGCTGGGGAACAGGGTGATAAGCAAGAAAGATGGGGAGTTTGGAGGATAGAGAGGGAATGAATAATGCAAGTCAGTGTTCTCTAGAGAAGTTGATATTTTGAGAATGAAAAGAAAGGTATTTTTATGAACATGTGAGGATGGGACCCACACAAAACATGGAGTCCAGGGAAGAGCATGGTGAATAGGAGTTCAGGAGCCAAGAGGACAAAGGCTCAGATCTAACTTGGGAATGGAGACCATGGGACGTATAGAGAGTGAGAACTGAGCCCTTGGCCTTCAGGATAGATCTACTTTATCACTATTACTCAGAATCTGGGTATAAACAGCTTTGTCTCTGAGTTTCCAAGGCCCTGATCCTTCTTTTTAATGAAAAAAAGAAGATCTGAGAAGAAAATAGGATTGTCTTTCTTTCCCATTCCCCAGAGAGAGGAAAATTCCAGAAAAGATACATCTCTCTCACTCAGATATTGTCTCCCCTTCCTCATTCTCTTAGTTTCTCCTAAAAAGTCTCAATTTCTGAATTTAGCTAAGAACCAGCCTCATTACAAGCATGATAATAGAGAGAAGAGGAAACATGCCAATTAATAAGCATACTTTAAAGCACCTATATGCCTTCTATTGAGCTCATAAAGAAGTACAAGACAATTCCCTCTTAAGATTCTAAGAATTAAAATCAACCAATCTGTTGTCACAAGGCTGTATTATATAGCTCTCTTTTTTATATAGGTTTTTGTTTGTTTTTTTTTTTAAAACCCCAAACACTCAGTTTACTTAAACACTATCAAAAGGTTAAGCACTCAGCTGAAAAGTTGGTTTGAATCTTCTCACGTGCACCTCAGAAGAAAGGCCTGGCAAACTACTTCTAAAAAAAAAATCAACAACTGAGAAACTCTAAAGGAGTTCAAGTATCACACATGCACCAGAATCTATTAGAAGGCAATTGGTATTAGCTCCTATCATACTCATGTTAGCACACCAGGCTTGTCTAAGCTGCAATCCCAGCATTCCTCGAACAGAAGCACCGCCCACTGTCCATTTAGCGTCAGTGCTCTCTCTGACCACAAGGGGGTGGCATTATCGCTGACAAGAAAGACTGCCGTTTGCTGCAGGCTTTCCAACCTTAACTTAGCTCCTTGCAGAGCACAATACCAGAGTTCAGACAGGTAACGAGTTGCTACATTGGCCTTCTCACTTGCCGGACGCTGCAAGACTTTAGTGTACAGTAATCCTGACTCTAACATAGATGACGCCGTTGAATTAACCAGACTGGAAGATCTTTCACGCCAGTGGATCTCTCTTCATCTCCTTTCAGAGACCACCAGTTCAGCCAAGGGCAGGATTGAACTGTCCTTTCAGATGGACGCTCAGAGAGGAGACCCATCAGGCAGCGGTGTGGAGGAGGGGTGGGGAGAGTCACAGACTTCTCACGTCCTTGGAGAGGCTTGAGGCAGAGAGCGCGGCCTGGGTTCTTGGAAAAGGTCTGGGGAGCTCCAGTGTCTGCCAGGACCACGTGTCCCAACCGTTTCATTTCCCCAACATGGCCCTTTATGAAAACCTTGAACACTTGAATCTTAAACATTTAATCCAACTGTGCTTTGCCTGAGGCACTAACGTGGAGGGAGGTGGGGCTGATAGACTAATAAACTTGAACTACCCCCACTCCCATCCCAGAGCGTCCAGACATTGGGCCTCTACAAGTTTCTCTCATTTCTTTCCCGTCGTCTGCTAATTATCACACTGAAATCAAAGGGCGGGTGAAATCCTTCTGTAAGCTCCAGACGTGATCCTCATTAGGGAAATTTACCTATCTGGCTGCCCCCTCATTTCTCTGAGGGAGAACACCTTCGGATGAGCACCGCATTGGCACACCAGTGGTCAAATCATTAGAATAACAAGCAATTTAAAAGGCATATAGAATCCAAACTGAAGTCTGTACTTATATCACGACTTAAAATGGAGTCAGCCCTTCTTCAGAACAAATTCTGATCGATTTCTGGCGCTAAAATATTTTCCCCTCTTGATCAGGGTTGGAGGGTGCATATTGGTGATCACACCTGAACCTACTTGTTGATAGCAGTGTATGAAAAGTTATTTTGCTGGTTTTCCACTGGATACTATGCGGTTTCTTCACCTAGACTTTGAGCAAGGACCACATAACCATCAATTAAAATAAGTTAGTAGGCAGAGTTAATGTACATCATGTTATTTTACTTTTTAAATTGTTACTTGAGTGAAAATTTGCATGTTGTTGTTGTTAGGTGCCCCCAGGTCCACCCTGACCCATCGTGACCCCATGAAAAGATCTGAGCTTTGCCCTGTCTGAATCCCAGGCTTGAACCCATTGTACAAGCATGGCATTAATTCATCTTATTGAGGTGTCTTCCTCTCTTTCTTTTATCCTCTACTTTCCCCAGCATGATGTGTTTTCCCCCAAAACGGACCGTTCCTGACAACCTGCTCAAAGTATGTGAGAGGGAGTATCCCCATCCTTGCCTCCAAGGAGCACCCAAACTGCAATTCCTCCAAGACAGACCTGTTTGTTCTTTTTACATTTCCTCTTTTCCCATGACTCTCTTAACAATTCAAAGGCATCATTCTTCTGTCATCCTTAGTCATTGCCAAATTTTCAGATGGATAGAAAGGAATTGAAAAAGTCATGGCTTAGTTTTTAAACTGACATCATTTTGCATAGCATATTGTTTTTCAATCGCTTACGTCCATTTTCTTCCATGGCATTAATTACAATACCCACACTGTCTGATTGGCCATCCATTCTATACTGGATGTACATAGTCCAAGCCATTCTCTTCAGTATGTGTAAAAAAGTGAAAAAGGAGTTTTATCATGCTTCATATTGCCTGTTGTTGTTGTGTACCATCGAGTCAGTCATGTTGGCAGGTTTTCAAAGGGAGTTAATTGCTAGGAAGGAGATTGCCTGTCCTCCCACCCAGTGGGTGAATTAGAACTGTGTGCCTTTGGAATTATAGTGCAGCTTCTTGCCACAAAGTCAACCAGAGCTCATATACACAAATTAAAAACATTAATATTCCTTGTAAAAATGATCCATCCATGTACACTTTAATAAACCTGTTGTCTGTGGGGTATGACAACATACATTCACCAAGAATCTAAACAAGGAATTACTCATTTAAATATACTGTCAATTAGAATGCAAATTTGAGTGGTGTTAAAAATTTGAATCAAATGTGTTAAAGCTTATGCTTCACCATGTAAATTACACAGACATTACTGAGCTCAAATGCATGCTACATCAAGCTGTAGAAATGTGTCATGAATATTCAAGTCACCATATAATATGTGCCTTTTTACATAAGGAAATGTGTGGTTTTTGTTTTGTTTTTTTTTCAATATAGAAGTTTTTGTGTCTTATTTAAATAAAGTTATTAGTAAAGCTTGAAAAATATTGGTTTTTCAGTCATTCATAGACATTAATCACATTGATTATTGATTATTAATTAATTATAATATCCAATCAACCCCTTCTTATGTATTGCCTTCCCTTCAACCAACTTATCTATTTGTTACTTTCACCCCTCTTTCTTCCTTCTCATGCCCATTAACTCACCAAAATGGATTCTGTGTGTAACCTCTCATTAGCTTTTTAAAAAAATATGTTATTATTGGCAGGGAAATATTTTTATTCACCAATACACAACAATATTAAATATATATTAAGGAGTTTTAAAAATTGGTTTACTTACAAAGTTTGTATACATGGTATTTCACACTAGTCTTCATTCACATTGTGTTTCATACAATTAATCATTCTCATGCATTATGTTTTATAAAATTAATCACCATTGGACCTTGCCCATCATTACCCTGTCTTTTTGCCTAGATCCTTCCCCTTCTCTTCACCCTTCTCTCCACCTACCAAACTGTGCAATCTTGTAGTTTCACCTCTACCTGTCCTCTCCCCTCCACTGCCCTCTCTCCCCACTCCTTGAGCTCCCATACATGTTTTCATAGTTATCCTTCTATTTTAATAATGGTCTTATGCAGTATTTGTCCTTATGAAACTGTGTTAGTTCACTCAACATAATCCTTAGCTTTTTGTAAGTCATGTTTTTATACCATGATTATCTCATCTCTTATTTCTTAACTTTTGTCAAATATTTAAGGAAAAATAATATCAAACCTCTATAGATTTTATTTTCAGAAAAGATAAAAAAGAAGTAATACTTGTCCTTCCTTTATAAGGCCAGTGTTCCACTAATACTAGATACATGGGGGGGGGGGAATCACAAGAAGACTACAAATCTGTATTCCTCATGACCCTAAATGGAAAATTTAAACATAAAATTTCAGTAAATCAAATCCAGCAATACATAATAAAGAAAAGTATACCGTGATTAATTGAATTTCAAACGTTAAACAAGTCTTACATCCCAGGAATAAATTCCATGTAATTGGTTTGACACTTGAAAATCAATTCATGTTTTTTACGTTGTTTTTGTTGGCTGCTCTTTGGTCACAGTGACTCCATGCACAATGAAATAAACTCCTCCTCAGTCCTGCATTATCCACATGATGTAAGTCAAACTATTGTGATCTAATTGTTTCTTATGCATCTGCAAGTTAGACAATGAATAAGCAAGACCAAAGGAGAATTGATGCCATTGAATTGTGGTGTTATCAAAGAGTATTGGATATAATATGGACCGCCAAAGTAACAAACAAATATATCTTCAAGGTAGCGCAATCAGAGTGTTTCTTAGGGACAAGGATTGTGAAATTTTCTCTCTTTTTACTTTGGGCATATTTTCATGAGAAACCAGTTCTGGGAGAGGAGCATCAAGTTGGGAAAAGTAAAAAGTCAA